TTATTGTGTAATTAAATGAACTTCCATGAGAGCTTTGTTCAGTCAGTCAGTTCTCAACTTTCCAGTCTTGTGCCTGTGAGTGTGCACTGGGTGCTACATAGTTATTTTAGCTCCGAACAAAGAGGACTCCCCTGATAAGTTGCCATTGTTGTGAAAGCCCTGAAGACGCAGGACTTAAGAATTAACCCTCTTCACTAAGCAGTCAGAGGACGTTTGATGCAGCTGCTCTGTGGAGTGAGCTGTCTGCTGGCATGCCTTGGCTGAACGTCAGCTGAAGTACTTGATATGGGCAGTGCATCTTCTGTCGGATTCCATAAGGGAATTCTTCTCAGAGTCAAGCCCAAAGACCACTTGAAGCTTCACTGTATGACTCCAAATTTGCCCCCAGGCCATGACTGACCTTTACTTTTTGCGCTCTTTGCTATATAGACCTCCATGCACCTTGACAGAATAAAAAGGTCCAACATCCTGTGCAGCACAGTCATGGAGATGCACGGATACAAACACGGCTCCTGGCGCGGTTTTCTTGGTAGAATGACCCTTGATAACAGGGCAATATCATAACAAAAGGACTGTTACACTCCCACTATCTATACTATCTTAAATACACTGGTGGCAATCTAAAAAACAGTGATGTCATTCCCAAATTATGAATTATATCAAACCCAGGCATTTATTTTTAAACATTAATGACCGATTGAAACTTTGAAAATCACACCTCTTAGAGTTTTCTCCTCAAAACTTATACATTTCAAAGTAACTCAAGTAAAGAGGAGATCAAAAAGTCAATAAGTGACCCTGGATTCACTGACTTCCATTAGCGTTGTACTTATATACTCTATATTTAGCCAGAACAAGAAATATGTAACAGCCAGAAGTACAGCAGCAGGAAATAAAAGGCAACACCATTTTATAGATGGTTTATAGATAGGATAAAACAAGTCTATACAGTTAGACAATTTATTTCTAAACATGAATTCTAATTAATGCAAAGCGACATAATCAAAATCTTGTCTGTTGTGTCATGGATAGACTGCGATATTCTCTTAATCTCCAAAAAGTGCAATAATACAAGTTTTTAAAGAAATTGTTTGAAGTTTGCATTGTACCTTAATAGTTCATAGAAGCTTTCTTATTTTCAGGATGGACACTCAATGAGGTTTCCTATTGCAAAAGCCTTATCCCATAATAATGATAAATAACGAATAAAATCATTCAGCGTAAGTAGACTTATTTATTTGTATATTGTAATTCATTGAGCACAGCCTCTACAGACCATAGGTGGGATTTTATTCACCTACATAGATGCAATACAAAGCATTGGAGGGGTGATGTACAGTATACCCTACAGGTATATACCCCAATTAGGCAATACCGTTTTGTAATGATGTCATCCTGATATTTTATCAATGTCAGCTTTAGGTCATGTTTATATTTCTATTGGATGCAGAGATGCCTGTAAAAATGCATTCATGATCTATGTCATGTTCTGTTCTGATTTGAGATTTCATCCTGACTTCAATCTATCATGTGGTATCATGAACTTAAACATGTTTCTCTGTCTCTTTTATTTGGGGAGATGCCTTTGCAATTAGTTTTTAGACAATATTTTTGAATGAACTTGACCTTTTTCTGATCAGCTCCGATAATCATCTGTAGATACTGTGAATTTGCACACAGGCAAAACACATGCACAGAGTACAAACAAAAATTGAGATAATAGCTATAATTCATAATTGCTCGTATACATAAAGAACAAGCATATAGACTGCTATTTCGTAGGAGGAAAATTCACTGGCTTTCTCGAGTAAAACGGATTGTTCTTGTTTTTCGTTTCTTGGGGTAAACGGGTTTGTGTGCAGAATTTTCTAGAACACTAAGCGGCTCTGATGAAGTGTTTTGTTCCATTTGTCTGATTTTGGACAATGTGATTAAACAAAACGTACAGTTGAGACTCCTCCATTAGAACAGCAGTGAAAAATGGCTTCCTCTCCGTGGTAGGGAGGCTGTAAACTAAAGCAGAAATAATCGAAATGCCTTAAAACACATTTAGGGGGAGAGATTTGCTTGATAGAGTAAGAACAATTTACTGTATTACCTCTGACTATAGAGCTGAGAGGTTTGGCCTTGGTGCAACACATTTGTGAAGTCACAGAGCTGTGCCTTGAAGGACATATTTTCCTGATCGTCAGAGGGAGATATGGTTCAGTAAGAATTAAGCATTAAAATATACAGGATGTATTCATCACATGTATATTTCAAAAATCCCATGTGCGTGTCTCAGTATTGGCTCTTATACTGGCCGAAGAGATTTATTATTGATTAGTTGATTCC